AACGTTTTCAGAGTCTCAAAGTCAAAGCTTTTTAGCGCTAATATATCTCCAGTTTCAGAGTTGATATTAAGGAAAGATGTTATGTCATGTTGACTCCTTTCTCTCACGATTTGATATGAAATAGCTGCATTGTTATTCAAGTCATTGTCCGTTGCGCTTACAGAAAAAACTGAAATTCCAGCAGCGTTATTTTCTACCAAATAAAACTCTATTGGATTTTGGGAGAAAAAAGGACTGTTGTCATTTACATCTGATATTCTAATATTTAGTGTTTTAAAAGTAGATAAGGGTGGTTCCCCACAATCGGTTGCTTTTATTGTTATCTCATAATGGGATACCTGCTCTCGGTTCAAAATTGTTTTAGTGACAACTGAATAAATGTTCTCCTTATAGGAGGGCCTTAATTCAAAAGGGACGTTTGAATTTATACTTGATATTATTTTTCCATTGACACCGGAGTCTTTATCCGTTACACTCAGTAGTGAAATAACTGTGCCAAGCTTTGAGTCTTCCGACACAGTATTAGACAGTGATGTAATTTCTATTTCTGGTGGATTATCGTTAACGTCTAATATCTTTATCACGACTCTACACTCACCTGTCAGTGGAGGTGCTCCTTTATCTGATGCCTCAACATCGAGTTTATAAATGTCGTTTTCTTCATAATCAACCATTCCTTTTACTTTAATTTCTCCAGTTAATTTGTCCAATTCAAAAATGTCATAGACTTTTTTGTTCAGAGTTTTTCCGAGGCTATATTCTATTTCCCCATTAATGCCTTCATCGGGATCCGTTGCATTCATTTTAAATATTAATGTACCGACTGGGATGTTTTCCTGTATTTCTATTTGGTAAATCTCCTGACTAAACATCGGTCGATTATCATTACTATCCAGCACAATAATAGAAACATTAAGTGTGCCTGATTTTGGAGGTTTACCTCCATCAACTGCAGTAACCAGCAGCGTGTGTTTGTTCTTTTGTTCTCTGTCCAACGATTTCTTCAGCACTAAAAATGGTATTTTATCCTCATCGCTTTGGCGGATATCAACTTCAAAATGTTCATTTGACGTTAAAGTGTACGTACGAATAGAGTTAACTCCAGCATCGGGGTCGCTAGCAGTGTGCAGTTTAAATCGCTTTCCTGGTAATGTTTGTTCACCTATCTCAAATAATTGTTCATTTTCAGGAAAACTAGGGGAATGATCATTTACATCCGTGATTTCTACAACAATATGGTGCATTTCCAACGGATTTTCAACTAGGATCTTTAGCTCCAGTAGACATGCACCACTGCCGTGACAAAGAAGCTCTCTGTCGATTTTCTTGTGTATATGCAGTGCCCCATTGTCCTGGTTTACCTCAAAAAAGGTTTCCTTTGTTCCAGAAACAACACGGAGCCGTCGTTCAGTTAACGATGTGATTTCGAGGCCAAGATCCTTGGCAACATTTCCAACAACAGTTCCTTCTCTTACCTCCTCTGGAATAGTGTAACGTGTCTGAGCCAAAGCCTGGTTTCCGAAAAAAAGCAATAGAGCCAGATGAAACACAAACGCATAGTACTCCGTCATTCGACTTTGCTTGTCGGTCCCCATCATTTAAACAATTAACTTACAGTAGAAAAATCCAAGGATAAGGGTTATATGTCCAACTCGTTGTTTATTGCATAATTCCAAAATGTTTACCGAGAACCTATCGACTGGCATGCTTTATTCAAACGCCTGCCCTTCTCCAAAAATAAAAGCTTTTTCATGGGAGGGACAACGTCTCCGAACATTTCCCAATGTAACAGTGACACCAGGAGGCTATTGAAAGGACGTAAAATAAGTGAAATTATATACTTCCTGTCATGGAATAGCTCTGCTGGCAAAATACAAATTGGCAGGTAAGATCCTGAATTTAAAAAATCACCATTCTTCTCTGTGTGTCTCTGTCTCAGTAATATTTATCAGCAGGTAAAGATACCTTGTATTTTTCTCTAACATTATGCACACGTTTAAACGCAAAATAACGAATATACTTGCAATGTAAAGCACCAGTAACAGCCATAGACTGTGGGTTATAGGAGACATTTGTTTTATATGCCATGATTTATAAACTAGCTCATAGCTGTCAGCATTCACTGCAGGCAAACCTATTGTGACCATTCACTTATGATTTCTAAGTAGAAGAATAAGATATAATGTTTTCATCCGTCAGAGGGAAATGTCTTCCCCCTGTTGTGTTTAAACACATTACACACACAGGGAGGATATACTGTACATGCACAAACACTCACACAGAGCATATACATGCACAAACACAACCACATGCGGATAGGAGAAGGGATCGCAGAGAGGCTGCCAGATAGCTGGTGCCAGGGAGCAGTTTTGGTGTTTGGTGCGTTCACAACCCAAGTAAAATTGACCTGCTGATCTCTTTCAACACAAGAAAAAGCTGTGCCAATTTCTGACATCATTTAGCTTTTCAGAGGATCAGAGACACGAAGATATGCAAAAAACAGTATGCAAAAAACATATTGAGTTTCACTGTAAGCGAAAAATGAAAGGATCTAGAAGTTAAATAACATTAGCATTTTCCTCAAGGCCTTATCACACTAGCATAAGCCCATAACATTGAACATGCTAGCAAGCACTTACAGCCAGCCTACTCTGAATATCAAAACCTTGTTAGCAGTTAGTGCTACCACTATGCTAATTTGTTATTAGCATTGCAATTACAGTAAAGCAACTCTACTAACAAACAACCAACTGTTGTGCGTTCACAACCCAAGTAACATTGACCTGCTGATCTCTTTCAACACAAGAAAAAGCTGTGTACATTTCTGACATCATTTAGCTTTTCAGATCATCAGAGACGTGAAGCTACCGCAAAGTGCCTTGTGCAGCTAACACAGAGTGTATTCTCGTAGCGATTGCTACAACTGCACCATGTTTGTTAGGAAAGTAGCTTTTAGAAATGTATCAATGTTCTAAAATGTGTGACTTTAACTCAATATTTAAAAAACAGAGTAATTGGCAGACAGTATGCAAAAAACATATTGAGTTTCACTGTAAGTGAACAATGAAAGGATCTAGAAGTTAAATAACATTAGCATCTTCCATAGGCCTTATCACACTAGCATGTACAATCAAGCCCATAGCATAACATGCTAGCAAGCACTAACAGCCAGACTCTGAATATCAAAACCTTGTTAGCAGTTAGTGCTACCACGATGCTAAATTGGTATTAGCATTGCAATTACAGTAAAACAAACAACCTATGTTGTCCTTGTAGACGTCTAATAATATCCATCATATTGAAAGAATAGGCCTTCACCAAAGCATGTTGACAAATCTAGTAACTACAGTGAAAGACCTTTACAATCCAAGTCAATTAACTTAAATATGTATTGTGATAATGTCCCACACAGCTAGTTGGTTACAACAATCTACAGTGATGTCACAGGGATTTCAGGCAGGAGGTAGTTGAAGGTTAATCCATCGCTATGGCTACAACTGCCTCATGGAACAACAAAGTTTTCCTTTCTGTTTGTTTAATATAGGAATGCATCTTTGTCTATCACACTTTGCTTCTGTAGATCTCCCATCTGACTTTATTGTGAGCTTGTGTTTTCAAAAAATAAATTGAGCATGTTTTATGAGACTGAACAGTCTCATAGGGTATTGCACTCTCTTTAAACCCAGGTAGGTGCAGAATAGGTTTCTCAAAAATAAAGCAATCAGGAAGGCAGTACTATGCATGACTACAAATGATAGTAAACTATATGTACACGTTGATTAATACCTACTTAACTTGTACTTGGGACAGGACTGCAAAGTACAGATGGGATATTCCTGATCATAATCAAACTTATATAAATGTGCACCAACATTAGTTATCAGTGTTCTCTATTCTCAATTTAAAAGAATAAACTGACAATAAAGAAGTCTTATAACATATTTTGCTTGTGTCTTTGGAAGGGCTTCAGTGTTTGTTTTATTATGTATCAATCAACTAGTTACATTGTCATTTTGTAAATTAAGAAAATAACATCCAAAGAATTAAACAATTATAATTGCAATGTAAATAGTTTGCACCCCATTTTTTTACTTTTAAATTAATCTTTATGGTGTGGTGTTACCAATTCTTAAAATAATACAAGGATTGGATGTTCATCAAAGGATTTTCAGGGCAATCGATTTGCAGCCAATCAGAGACGAGGCTTCTGCTGCACTCACCCATCATGCGCTGAGGCAGACATAGCGCATGCGCAAAGGCACTGACACTACAGAGACCACGCAGTTAGCAGGCGAAGGTGAAGAGCACGGCACGTGGTGCGCCCAGAGGAGAGGAATCAGCACTTTGAGAGGTAACGGTAAAAACTATTTATCAACGGATTCAAAACACTCGAGACTTAAAACATTGCAAACCTCAAAGTCCTAGCTATGGTATACATGTTGTTTAACGACCGAAAACAAAGTAATGTTAGCTAACGTTACCATAGCTAGGTAGCAGCTAGCTACCATGCTTTGAAAGTGAGCTGTTCTATGCCATCATTACGTGCAGGGTGTTCTTTTTTAATGATGAGCAAGATGCGTGCTCGAGTGGCTGAGCGTGATGTGCAGTGAATGTTTAAGAGTTACTTTTTCGCAATATTATTTAATAAATAGTTTATTAATTACATTAATATACATTGTCACTAACTCCTAATGTTAGCTCAATCCTTAGTTTTATAATCGATTTTTTCGTGGGCATAATGTTACACGTTATGTTACATGCACATTATCCATATCTTTTAGATCCTATGTTAAGGGTATAATCAGAGGTGGGAGAAGTTCTCAGATCTTGTACTTGAATAAGAGTAGAAGTACTCAGGTATTATACTTGAAGTGGTATTACTGTACTTAAAGCTGCTGCTGTGTTATTTAAGTTATTTTTGCTCAAGCATGTGCAAACTTGTGTCTCTTTTTTCCCCTCAGCTGTTAGCTGCAGTACCAGTAATTGCAACCTACCAAGAATAAACAGCAGCCAGAGATCCTCAAGTAAGATTTCTTGCCATATTACAAGTTTTATCAATTCTCAATGTCCTATGTGGTATTGCTATGCAAACAGTGAAAGGATATGGAAATCATCAAGAGGTGGCTAAAATATGTTTTTCTGCTGACCCTGTCCAGAGCAGTACATTGCTTTGCTTCCAGGTGGTTGCTCCTGTCTGCATCTCCAAGCTCGGGGCATACCGGCCATCAGTGGCGGATTGGCCATCAGGACGTTCGGGACGAATCCCGATGGGCCGCTCGGCCCACTTCGGTACCGGCAGGGGCGGACTGGCCATCTGTAGAATCACCGAACGGACGGGTCGGTTCGCTGTTTTTAAACGGCATCATTGAAGTTGCGCTGACAGGCGACAGAGGTCCACCGTTTCCCAGTCCGCCCCTGCCGGCCATCATCTACTCTAGGTAATACACTGACTATAGATAAGTACTGTACCTTTTATAAAACCCCACTTTAAACACCCAAACTATCCCTTTATGATGTGACATTTTCTACACTGTTAACATTAGGAAACACTTAAGAAATAAAAGAAAGCTGCAGGAGCTGATCATTCCTAAAATACAATTGGCCATATGATCACCAGTAAAAAACAAAACAATCTGCACTAAATATTTTTTGGATTTATAAATGTTTTGTGACTTTTTCCTTTGTGTACCTTAAGGGAGTTCTCCCCTGACAGCTGGACACTACATGATAGCAGAGGACTTGAATGTTGTCGACGCCCTGATGCTGATGTGTGCAGCATATTACTGCGTCAACATCAGTTATCGCTCAGAACTGGGAGCTACCCTGGAGTTCTTGCAGAGGTAAGACTTGAATTGTGATTATTAAGTCATTCCATCTTAAACCACAGAGTAGAGGATTGTGCACATTTCTGACTCACGATAAGTGCTCCTGACAATTCAAGATAAAAAGATTATTGTGCTGCATTCTGTTTCACATTATGCTCTCGTTTTGTCTTGGGTTGTAATTCAGCGTACCCCTTTCCTTTGCAGTGGTGTGCTTTGGTTCCTCCCTAAATGCCCAAACTCACTCTTAGCCAATCGGTGGTATGTTTACTTCAGCTCAATGAAAATGACGGAAAGAGGGCCCTTTGTCGACAACAAAAGAAAACCAATTCAGTTATTTGGAAAAAATTCAGGTAGGACTGTATAGGGGAAGGTTTCACTCGGAGTGACTTACACTTTGGGGTGTCGGTAAGAACACACAAGATTCTTGGTAGCGGTTGATTTCCTTAACTTATTCATATCAACACAACAGCACAGTAATACAGCCGTGGAGCAGGTTTAGTGTATGTGTGTGGTCTATAACAGAGAAACACACAAGTATAATTAGAAGATTGTACTTCTACCATCAAGTAAAAGCTTAGCGTGAGTGTCAGCACCTGATGACAATGGAATCTGACGAGGAAGACGCAACTATTTCTTGCACCGAAATGGGATGGGCACCGGAACCTGGTATTATTGCAGTGAACAAACACATTCAAACTTCTTTCAGTTAACTACGATGCTTTTACACCGCTCACTCTGCTGCTGACACGCACCTCATCTGCTCTAGTTACACACAAATAGGGATGGGTACCGAGAACTGGTACTAAGTCAATACCGGTACCTGATTGGACGGTATCGGTATACCGTTAAGCCGCTGGACAAACGGTACTGCTATTGGTATATGTTACGTCTACTTCCTTAGTTTAACTTTAAACCATTCTGGTTGGTTGGGAACCCTCATCCCGTGTGATGTATCCGGTTTGAGACCCCTCTGATTGGCCACTGTAAATGCCACTCGCCATCTCTCTCAACAGCGCTCTTATTACGGGCCGTCCACACTACAGCTTCGACAGCTTCAAAAACGGTTTCCAACGCGTCTGCCCATTCACTTTGAATGGGGTGACGTCACGTTGCCTCGCTTTTCACCGAACTGAATTGTGGGTAGCATAGCGGTCAGTCTCCGGCGTCAGAAGTTGAACATTAGCCAGCGCCAGCCAATCAAATCCCGTTTCTTAAAATCTGACAGCTCAAGCCCTAGCCAATCAAACCGCGTCTTAGCTGGGAGAGATATCCCGCCGTTCATTTCTATATTTCAAAAAAAGATGGAGGAGAAACTAATTATCGCCGTAGCAAATCACCCGGTTTTGTATGACCAGACCCTCTTCACCTACCGGGATACAAACCGGAGGAACCAGGCATGGAGGGAGGTGGCAGAGACAGTGGGTGAAACTGGTAGGTTTTCGCCTGTTTGGGGAGTTTATATATATATATATTGCTCGCATAAAATCCCCGGGTTTTTTTGCTTTGTATGTCGGGGGCGGGAGATTCATGTGATTGGTTGTTGGTCGCGTTGCTCGAATGAAATCCCCAAGCTTCAGACACGCCCAGCTCCAAGCTTTTTTTGAAGCTGTAGTGTGGACGCTCCATTATTGTTGTGAGACTCCCGCAGGCATGGCGGACAGAGCGAAGCGATCGAAGGTCTGGGTGCACTTTAAAAAAAAAGTAGTGGCGATAGTGCAAGGTGCAATCTGTGTACTCAATTAGTTGCTTGTAAAGGGGGTAACACAAGCAACTTAATGAAGCATTTGCAAACGAGACACTCATTGAATCTAAAACGGTGCTAGCGATACTGCTAGTGCTAATAGTGCTAGCGGGCTTCAGCCGCGCCGTGTGTAAATGTGACCTGAGCAAAGGCTCGCAGGCAGGTTAGCTGCCTGCGAGCCTTTTGGTTTACCTGAGTGAAGTCTTGCAGGAACATCGCCTTGTCTTTTTTTAGTTTATTAACACTGACAGTGTATTAATGTGAGCTCCTACAGCTATAATAATTTGGCCTTTCATTGAATGCTTTATAAACCAGTTAAACTTACAGATGTTATTGTGAATTGGAAAACTGCATTTAAATGTTGTTAAAGGTCAACGTTTCAATGTATGGTTCAGCAATTTTTGGTCGTTTACTAGGAATTGACATATTTTAAGCTCAAATACGTTGTTCTATGTTTAAACCTTCAGACACATTTTGACGTGTTTCAGTTCAGCACATCATTTATTTTGTGATGATTTAAAAGTACAATCCAGAATAATATACGTCGCCTTTATCTTTTTGCCATCTTAGCCTTTTGACCAATTTCTTCATATCACAGTTTTGCATGATGTCACTGTAGGACAATGTTTTAAGGATCTCTTGTCGAGCTAGGTTGTCAGTTTGAAATGTCTGGATGAAGATGTAACTGATTTACAAATGTTAAAAAATGCCTCTTTTCATCCTTTGTCTGAGGGAAAATCCCAAAAAGCATGATAGGGCGAGCCAGGCCCCTTTAAGTTATTTCATGTATTTGTGTCTGCTTCTGAGAAGCTAATGTATACGTTATACAGTTATTTCTGCAAGAAAATTACAATACAATGACTGTTTAATCTTCACATATTGTATTCATGTCTATAATTTTGAGGACCAAATTATTGAAAAGTATCGATAAGAGTATCGAAAAATACCGATAAGCAGTACCGGTATCGATAAAATCCTAATGATACCCATCCCTACACACAAACCTCTCAAGATGGCACTCGTAGCTACCCACATTAAAATGATCTTCAAGTGACCGCTTGCTCCTGTTTACAGACCTGCTGCGATACTGTCCAGTGTGATAGTGATGCCAAGTGACAACTTTATAGAACAAAACTCTATTCAAACCAATGCTTTAAATGTACAGATATGATCATAACAGTTAATGAAAAGTACATTGAAGAGTAGCATTGCCCTTTGACTTCAAGCTGTATAACTGTAAAGACAATTAATTGCTGTATCATCCAGTAGCACTTAAAATGTTTTGGCTCTATGAAACCTGATGTACTTATATGATTCTGTTTTCTTCAAGTTTGTATCTTGTTGGTCGAACGCACTTATTGCAAGTCGCTTTGGATAAAGGCGTCAGCTAAATGCAATGTAATGTAATGTACTTCTATCTTAACAGGTGATTCAAGATCAATCCGGACAAGGGGACTAAAGTGGAGAGGTAGGAAGAAAAACAAAAACAGCACTCGATAAAGGTGCATTCATTAATTACAAACGTCGCTGACTTTGAATGGAGAGAGTAGAAATACACACACATAGTCATGTACACACGCACACACAAAACTGGTAGATTTCTTTAGTGTTTATAATTGTTATCTTTTGAACAAAATGTTGGGAAAATGTTGGCTTGTTAAATGTTGAAATGTTTCATTGCCGGTCTATTCTGCTATATATAATATATTTTATTTATTGTTTTTATTTTTGTGATTTATATTATTATTTTCCATAATATATTGTATATATAAATATATAGATTTGTGATTTTTGTTCTACAAAACATCTGACAGTTAATGTAAACTTGGGCTTTTGCAAAGTAAAATGACATGTTTACTTTGTGTTTTACATGTAAATCAGGGGTTCTCAAAGTGCGGCCCGCGGGCCAATGGCGGCCCTGGGAAATGTTTCTGGCGGCCCGCGATAGTTAATGTGACACGCTGAAATGCATGCGTTATATTTTAATCCTCCATGGTTCGTATCTAGTAATTTAGGTTAACTTCCTGTTTCGTTTGCATACTTCTATTTTGAAGGCGAGATAACGTGTTTGACAGGAAGTTGTGGTGGCATTGGAGACAACTTGACGGATAAAGTAGTGTCTTCTATGTAACGGCAGAGAAAGAGAACAACGGACTGTATGTTTTAAATGTTTAGCACCCCCCGAAGAGGCCACAAGCTCTTACGTTGGGTCTGGAGTTACAAATAAATTCTGATTCATCAGTAAAGTAAAGCCTACGACCATTATTCGGAGGGAAATGCTACACTGTCATTTTTGCTAGATCAAAAGTCGAAAGTTGTTTTGGATGAGTCACTAGTTGGCTGGTAAGAAAGTATATGAGAAGCCGCTGTGGTGCATCTGATTAAAATGCCAGAGAAGATGTATACTCCAAATGATGTGTATTGTAAATAGGAGGTGAATGCCAAGATATGTACACAAAATGTATGTGTGTTTGTTTGTAGCCTATATATAGGTATGTAAAAAGGCGTGTGTGTGATTGTGGTTATTTGCGTGTGCGTGTTTGCGTGTGTGGTTAAGTATATGAACGCACACAAAAGTCCGCACTGGAAGCATGTCCCAAAGGCGGCAAAGTGTTCACGTGAACAGCCCGTGGCCCAAACCATCAGTCCTTCGCAACAAAAGTGGTTGGAAGTTTTCGTTGTGTAAGCGAGATGGAGGAGCCAGGGCCGTCGCGTAAAAAACGTTGTGTCAGTGAGAAGAAAAGGAAGTTCCAGGAGAAATGGAGCAACGCTTACTTCGTTTTACCTCAGGGGTCGGATAAAGTGATATGCCTCATCTGCAAGCAGGTGAATGTAATGCTCAAGGAGTATAACATCAAACGCCATTATGATACCAATCACATTAGACAGGAAATCCACAGCATATCACTCACTCCAGCACAATACTCTCTCTCTCTCTCTGTGTGTGTGTGTTTGCAAGGCACTTTTGAGACAAATTAATGTTTGATTAATCTTAATGTATACTGTATGTATAATTGGTTAGTACAATAAAGAAAGGATTTGTTTTGGAATTATTTTGTGTTCCGTTTTTTCTTGGGCGGCCCTCAATCCAATATTGAGTACCTAAATTGGCCCTCACTCATCAAAACTTTGAGAACCCCTGATGTAAATGGTCTTAGATTTCGTGAAGTTCGCTGACGACACGACCGTCATCGGCCTTATCACCGACGGCGACGAGACGGCGTACAGAGAGGAGGTCGAAAACCTGACATCTTGGTGCCAG